TGCCATCTAAGTTAGGCTAAGGCACACCTCTCGTAAAACATAAATAAATTAATTAAATAAAATAGATAGACGAATAAAACGTAAAGTAAAAAATAATAAATAAATAAATAAATAATAATAATAATAATCAGTTAATAACTTTTTTAATTATCCTGCTAACGAATAATATTAATGATAACAAATGATAATAATAATAAAATGGTAATAATAATAATAACAGTGAGTAGGAGTAGGTTGATAAAAGTAATTACAATAATAATATGATAGACGTAATTACAACTATCTATTATCAATACTATATAATGCATTAACTGATGATCGAATCTATTATTATCATTCATATCATAATTCACATAAAATAATTTACGAAACTGTATATAAAATAATAAAGTTTCAAAAATATATTTCCACAGAAAGGACATTATGTGTTTATATTAATATACTAAAAAAAATATCTGTATCTTATATAAAATTACACTATTATGACTATTACTTTCACAACTACTGATGAAAATAATAATGATGATGAGGATGGGGATGATGAGGATGATGATGATGATAAGGTGATGATAATGATGATAAGATGATGATAATGATGATGATGATGATATTGAGATGATATTGATATGATGATAATGATAATAATGATGATATTGATGATAATGATAATGATGATAATGATAATTATGATGATAATGATGATGATATTGATGATAATGACTACTACTTTTGCTACTACAGATAAAAAAATATATATTAATAATAATGAGGAGGAGGAGGAGGACATTGATGATAATGAGGAAGATGATAGGCAATAATAGGAATATTAACAACAACAATAATATGATGATAAGGAAGATGATGACAATAATATTAACAACAACAATAATAATCTACTTACGAATATAGAATTGTAGACTTGTTCAAAGAAGATGATTGGCACCCTCAGGTTGATTTCAGGGGATGAGATGTCGTCGAAGGGAGGGAGGCTCCTATCCCCCGCGTCCTGACCGAACTTGTAGAAATAGGACTTTTGAACAGCTCCCGAGGACGCTATGAGGGCCAGGAGCACCGTCAGGAGGGAGGAGGCCTTCACCATGAGTCCCATGGCGGCGGCAGGTGGGCAAGAAGGGGAGGGAAGCAGTAGGACCGTATGTTTTGTTTTTCTCTTCTTCAGGTAGGTCCTCTCTGTGTGTTTGAGGGATACGGGCTTATTCTTTTTCTTTTTCTATACGATTTAGGGGACTAGGGCATTGATCACTAATTTATCTATGCACTTCAGTTTAGTCACTATTCTCATAACACTAATATTGTCATTTTGAAGGAATTGTATGTTTATCTTTTACGTTCGGGAGATCTGGAAAGAGAAACATTTTTTTTTTTCGCGCGTTCACGGAGCTGAATTTCTCTACAACTTCTCTCTCTGGTATTCAACGCTAACAGATTGTTAGAGAGAAGTCGCTAAAAAAAGTTTTCCCTTAGCCTCAGGCCGGCAAACATCTGAGAAATGCTTTAGAATTTCTGAAGAACCCAGGAAAAATTGATAAAAAAAATTGACAACTTTATCCGACTCATGTTTTGATATCTATTCCTTGACTTTTCTCGACTTTCTCGCATTTCCTACGCTTGTAGTTTTATGTCTTGTTTATTATATATTCCGTTTTGACAAACATCGTTGCGAATTTGGAAATAAGAAATGAATCTTGATTTTTATTTCACTCTAAGTGCCTAGCATGACCCGCGACCTGCACTAACGACATCTATCCATCCTCATTTCTCTATGTACTTACTTTATGATAACCGTAATCGATCGATAAATCTCCTCAAATCAAAACCCAAAGAGAGATCCAACTGAAAACATCCAACTTACCCCAAAATGCTTCTCCCAAAAGCCCCGACGCTAGTTAGTCTCTGCGCAGAACTGAGCCGAGGTTGGAGACGTCCCACAACGGTCAAGAAGAGAGATAACACCCTAGAGATAACCCAGATAATCAGAGGCCGTTGTACTTCACCTCCGTTCCTCCTCCTGTCTGCCTGTTATCTCCCGAAACTATGCCCCGACTTATATATAGCAGCGGCACCTGTCTTCCCGACGAGGTTCCTCACCACGAACTAACTATGGCCGGGGGGGGGGGGGGGGAAGCGTTCGAGCCAACCGAAATAGCGAGGGATTGCGGCGGAATGTCTCTTACACGTCGTAGATCCGAGACGCACCTTTCGTGGGAGATAATAGCCGATAGTGATAATCTGATAGGGATTTGATAGTGAACTGATTACAGAGGCGTCCTCTCGGCGGGGCATCTCTCCTTTTCCCCATTCATTGCTATCGGCTTTTCTGTTGACAAGTTGTTGTTGTTGTTGTTGTTGACTCGTTCATTTTCTGCGTCTGCACTGGCTTGGACACCGACTTGTAAAGGCCGTGTCACGCTAGCACTTTTTCCGTCAATTTTTGGACAATTATATTTAACATAAATACAAACATTCTCGAATATAGCTCTTGATTTGACTATGCTTGGCTGGAAAAATTGACGGAAAGGTTTTCAGACGGAAACGATCGTTATCGTCTGACTGGAGAATCGACAATTCGCTCAAAAATGGAGAAAACTTCGGAAAATTGTCAAAAAAATGACGGAAAAAGTGCTAGTGTGACAGCACTTTAATGCTCAGAGGTGTCTACGGTCTCCTGGGAAAAGCTTCGATTCCAAGAATACGACATTTATCTTCAGTAAACCAGTCACAAAGTCTATTTAAATATATCAGAGAACGAAACGAAAACCAGGATTATCACAAACGAAAAAAAAAAATGATCAGCAACAATTATCTTATCACCGAAGAGTATCGACAAGAAAAAGATAAGAATCGCAACAACGAAAAAAAAAGAAAAGATGAAAAAGCAACCAGGGGCCGGATGCTCAAAAGCCTTAAACATACACGAGACCTAAACTGCCCTGCGGAGCCTTAGGTCACGCACCGTCTAGGGCGCCCTATCTCGGACCTGTCTTCGTATACATATTTTCTATTTATTTATTTACTTTTTATTTATTTATTATTATCTTTTTTTTTTTTTTTTTTTTTTTTTTTTTTTTTTTTTTTTTTTTTTTTTTTTTTTTTTTTTGCGTCGGATCTCCAGTGAACTATCACAACAGCTGTTTCAGGCTCCTAGGGAATCATGACCAACCACAAGTCCGTAAATGCTAATCAACCTTGTTTGTAAACACTGTGTCCAGTCCGAATCATAATAGAATATTCCTAATTAAATATAACGGCCTCATTAACGGAAGGGAATTTTACGTACGAAATATTGTCTCCTCGAAAGCAAAACCTTGCTCGAAAGGAGGGATAATATTACAAGAATATTATAAGCTATGATTTTCATACCAACTGCCACTTTAACAAATAATACTTGGCGTGTTAAAGACGTAAAGCACGTTTGTACACGTAAAGTAATCTCTTTTTTTTCTATAAATCATCGTTAGGTCTCCTCATTCACAAACTACGTAAATAATAATAAAAATAATGATATTACCAGTAATAACAATGAAATATAAGGAAAACCATTAAATCCTGAGGCGACGACAGTACTTACGCTAGTTTTAGTGTAATGCCTTGTTTCCAGCTACAGCTCTTAGCCTGGAGTGAGATACGACGCCTATTGGCAAAGACCAATATGAGCAAAAACACGAAGATTTTAAGGATTTAACTGTTCTAAGCCTGAAAAAAAATGCCATTTATAATTCGCCGTAACCCACAGGGGCTACTTTCCCCCATATATAAGTACTTATATAGACCTTACTTTCCCCCCCCCCCTGTCTTACTCCACGCCTCCTGAAAAAAAATGCATTTATGCCATTTATAATTCGCCGTAACCCACAGGGGCTACTTTCCCCATATACAAGTACGTACATAGACCTTACTTTCCCCCCCCCCCTGTCTTACTCCACGCCTCCTGAAAAAAATGCCATTTATGCCATTTATAATTCGCCGTAACCCACAGGACTGCTTTCCCCATGTATAAGTACTTACATAGACCTTACTTTCCCCCCCTGTCTTACTCCACGTCTCCTAATTCGTAAAGCGGATCCCATTGCCTCGCGCATGGACCGTTTCGCGACCGTGTGTATCCGGCCCCAGGAACTTCAAAGGCCAAAGACCCCCCTGGTGAACCTACGAAACCTCTTCACAGTACTGTCTGGTATGATTAATCCTTCGGGCAGTTTGAAGTGGGTACACCGCGGTATGAACACTTCACGGGCACTAGAGAGGATTATCACGACGGCGGGAGAGTGTCTGCCATGAATGTTTTAGTGGTGGAAATCAGCAGTCTAAATGAATCATTTAATGTTCTTTATATACTCTACTTTTGTTTGTATGGTACTCCTTCTTATGATGTAATGGATATATATAGAGAGAGAGAGAGAGGGAGAGGAAGAGAGAGAGAGAGAGAGGAGAGAGAGAGAGAGTGGGGAGGGGGAGAGGGAAGGGAGAGGAGAGGAGAGAGAGAGAGAGAGAGAGAGAGAGAGAGAGAGAGAGAGAGAGAGAGAGAGAGAGAGAGAGAGGAGAGATGGGGAGAAGGAGAGGGAGAGGAAAGAGAAAGTGAGAGAAAGAGAGAGAGAGAGAGAGAGAGACAGGAAACAGAGATAGAGGCAATGGCAGAGACAGATAGAGACGGAGAGTGGGAGAGAGACAGAGGGGGAGGAAAATAGGAAGAGAAAAACATTCGTTGTATGAAGCTAATTATATTTTACTTCTGTCTTCATAAGGTTTCATGATTCCACACAAACGTAGGGAGATATACATACTAAAATCATCTTGTGTTTAATAAAACAATTTAATTTCATTGACTCGCAATGTCCATGTATAAGCGGGAAAAAAGGGAGAGAGGTAGAAAGAGAGAAAGAGAAGGATGGAGAGAGAGAGAGATTAATCTCATAAAATTGAACTATACGTAGAGAAAATACAAAATGAAAAAAAAAATACATCTATGCACAATGAAGAGAGGA